ATCACATCAATACTTCCTGTCACAGCAAAAATATGCTCTGTATATTCTAAATCAAGCCAACCTGCTGCAATGTAACGCATTGGCTAACCCAACATGTATGAAGATCCCAAACTCGTTCAAACAGGATGAAAACCTCACCGACCCAGCTCTCTACAGACGTTTAATCAGGTCACTCCAATATCTAACGCTAACCAGACCCGATATCGCCTACAGTATTAATCTTCTATCTCAACAAATGCATAACCCAATGGAGCAACACTTCTATCTTCTCAAACGACTTCTTCGTTACATAAAAGGTGCTATAGATTACTGAATTCCTATTACAAAATCTAATATTTACCTTAAATCTTTTTCAGATGCCGATTGGGCAGGAAATCCAGTATCAAGAAAATCAACTTCCGGTTATTGATCCTTGTTGGGTGATACGCTCATATCCTGGACTGTCAAAAAGAAACACACAGTCTCAAGATCTTCTACCGAGTCAGAATATCGAGCCCTCGCCGCGTTAACCGCAGATATTACCTGGATAAGACGCCTTCTCAACGAATTCGGCATAGAGCAACATTCCCCGACCGATTTGTACTGCGATAACACCTCAACAATCGCCCTTGCCAACAATCCTATTTTTCATGCCCGTACAAAACATATAGAAATAGATCAAAAGTTCGTACGGGATAACAATCAAGCTCAAAACATCCGCCTACTACCAATTAGTACCAATGATCAAGTAGCGAACATCTTCACAAAACCGCTATCCACTCCCAGATTTCAATATCTCAGACTCAAAATGACTGTGACTCAACCACCATCAGTTTGCAGGGGCATATCATAGCACAAATAAATAATTTATTATGTAATTTACTTATTTGGCTATCAGTGGCATTAGTGTAAATACTGTTATCTTGTATCTTGCTGCTAGTCTATATATGCATAGGTCTGTACCGTGAGTTGAATAATAATAATAATAATACTTTTCCTCATTCTGTTTCTTTCTCTGTTCGTGTTCTTGGTTCACGGTTCTACAGATGTTTTTAATATACTAGATTTTCATTTAATGCACATAGTGGGCATATGTGTAGTTAATATCAGGTGTAATGTGGAGCTTAGGTACAAGAAAGTAGGTACAATTATGTATATTAGATTGGTATGATGCAAGCATATGCATAGTGCTTAACATATATCAAATTTATAAATATGAATTATAATGAGTGGGTTTTAACAGTACATGCTTTGTAATAATCTATTTTTTTAATATTTTTTGTTTAAATGAAAAACTAAATTTCAATGTCGTGCCTTATCGAAGAAGAGAGAATATTGTTTGGTGCTTTTCATCTGTCAATTTTGTTCAGATACCTTCCCATGAACCTACTCATATCTTCGCTTCTTGCCCATGGTGCTTCCCTCCTTACTCAATGCCTCAAGCCCGTCAACTTGCACAGATGCTGGACTACTTGCCTTGCTTGAGCCTGTTGTGCTTGATCACTATGCTTCTCTTTCTTTATTTCTGCAATACTATCTGATGGGCACCTTCAGGCTTTTTAGCTCTCTCATTCTTAGGCTTTGTTTTGGACAGTTTTATTATCGCTTTTTAAAGCAGCTTTTTTGTATCAAAATTTCAGGTTCAATACAATTTTGTACTAAAAAGTTTCTTTAAAAAGTTGCCCCAAACAAAGTCTTAGACTTCTTTTGGGACTACCTTCTTATTGTTTCTTAAAGCAACTTTATAGTACAAAAATTTTAATTTTTTAACTAAAAAACATCTTTAAGAAGTAGTTAGAAAGCCGTCCAAACAAGACTTAGGCTTCGTTTGGGACAGCTTTCTTTTTGCTTTTTAAAGCAATTTTTTAGTACAAAAATTTTAACTTTTATACTAAAAAGCTGCTTTAAGAAACAATAAAAAAGCCATCCCAAACGAAGCCTTAGTCTTAAGCTTCGTTTGGGACAGCTTTCTTACTGCTTCGTAAAGCATCTTTATAGTACCAAAAATATAATATTTGTACTAAAAAATCGCTTTAAGAAGCAAAAAGAAAACCGTCCCAAACGAAACCTTAGTCTCCGACTCCATTTCCTTCTTCTTTATCGTGCTTGCTCTCACTGTCATTGTTGTTTCCCATGCATTCGATCTCCTCTTGTGGCTTTAAAGAAATAAACTCCCTTCAACTTTGCCACCCTAACGACATTAAACAATAGAATCGCCACAATCCGTTCAGTCAAAATGATCGTAGTTGGTATACTTTGTTTGTTTGAATATTATAGCTTTGTATAAAGATATAACTTCCACACATATAATTTATGAAGGACACCATATCTTTTATGTAGAAAATCCAAAAAGGAAAAAAAAAAAACATTGATATTTATCTATATAATTATAAATACAATAATTTATTTTTCCCTAACTGTTGAAGAAATGAATTTACACAAATACAAATAATTGTTTGATTCTTGTATTAGGAATTATATAACTCATGTCGCGAGAGCTGAAATTTTGAAGTCCAATAAAAGAGCTAGACATTTGTAATTAGGAGGCAAAAGTCCAATAACAAAAGTGAAGTGGTGGCAGCGGTGATTGATAATGATGGTCATCGATGGCGATCCTCAAGAAATACAATATAGCTATGTAGCTTTCTTTGCTCTTGAATCACGTAAAAGATGAGGCTCTACTTATAATTTTTTAAAAGTGAAAATTTTTGATAAATTTGGTCATAATCCAACATACTATCGAATAGTCCATATAGCCCCTTGATCATAAATTATTTTCCATGATGTTAGAATTAAATGACTTTGGGCTCATTAGATTTATCTCGTCGAGCTACTCGATTTAATTTTAACCAAGTAATATTTAGAGACTGATTGGTCTATTAATTAATGTCCAAAACTTTTTAATTATGTTTCAAGTGCCCGAGTGGAACTCATTTCGAGTTAGATCGGGTCATATATGATGCCGATTGATTCATCTTGTCAAGAAGTTCAATTCAATTAAAATCCAGTCGAAGCAAGTAATATTTAAAGAATGATTGGTCTATTAATTAATGTCCAAAACTTTTTAATTATGTTTCAAGTGCCCGAGTGGAACTCATTTCGAGTTAGATCGGGTCATATATGATGCCGATTGATTCATCTTGTCAAGAAGCTCAATTCAATTAAAACCCAGTCGAAATTGGTGTTCCGATGATCTTGAATTTAATTTTAAAAAAATTCAATTCAAATATTACCTCGAGATTTATAGTGAATTTACTAACCACCTAATTAAAAAAAAAATCTCTTTTATCTTTTGATCACAAATATCTCAATTTTGATGTTCACACCTATTCATCCTCATTAATATTTTGGGCTCATTCGGGCCTTAATTTTGCAAATTTAACCGTTCTGAGCCTTTCTAGTTTGAACATTACTATCAGATGCTTCCAAACTTATGCTTCTTATATATATAAAACAACATTATAGATGCCAACGGTATTTTTTTTTTTTTTTTGGGACATTTACAATTCATTTGGGATGGCTTCTAACTGCTTCTTAAAGTACTTTTTAATACAAACATTAAAACTTTTATACTAAATAATTATTTTAAGAAAGAGTAAAAAAGCCATCCCAATAGAAGTCTTAGGCTTCGTTTGGGACGGCTTTTTTATTGCTTTCTAAAATGGAGTTTTAGTACAGTTTTTTTTAAATTTGTACAAAAACTCCGTTTTAGAAAGCAATAAAAAAGCCGTCCCAAAGGAAGCTTTAGACTAATTAAGACAAACTCACATATATATCACATATGTAAAACTCAAATATAAGACTTATTAGTTAGTGGCCAAAGATTTTTACTAATAGATTAAGGTGAGGACACACCGCTCATCTTGGACTGTTAGTTGAGAGCTTAGGCTATCAGCTAAGATGTCTTGGGTTGGAGTATTTGTATTTGCGATGTGTATATGAGTTTGTCTTAATTGACCTAAATATTCAAAAAAAAAAAAAAAAAAAGGGGAATAAAAAAAAAAAAAAAAAAAAGGTGATCAGGTAAGTGCTAGGTAGTATCAAAATTAAGTTTTTTTATGACGAGGAACCGTCCGCTGCCATGCTCGGGCTTAGTCGAGAACGCTTGGAGGTCCGTAAACCCCGATTGAACTATCGGGCCACCCACGCTTACAGTACCCGCAGCCAGTGCTTTGGGGGCCCCACTTAAGGACGACAGCTGCTCGAGGGAATTGAACTCGGGTGAGGGGTTTCCAACCGAGCACGCCCACCAACCAAGCTAAACCGCGGTGGGTTGTAGTACCAAAATTCACAGTAGTACAAAAGAAAAACTATGCCGTACTGTACTACATGAATGATTGCAAAATTAGTAGTACAGCTTTTAAAATTTATAAGATGTCAGAAGTCTTAAATCATGGCCGTTTGGTCCCGCTACAAATAATTTCCCACATAGATATTTTTCATCAATTTTTCTCTTAATGAAGAGGGTGTAAATGAGTGGAGTTGAGTTCTAATCATCTTTAATTTTAGCTAGATGCGACACATTTTTGATATGTTGGTTAGGAGCTTCGACTATCAACAAAGAGGTTTTAGATTTGAAACTTTCATATTTGATATGTGTGAGTTTTCCTTAATTGATCAAAAAGTCTTAGATAAAAAATTTTAGCTTGAGCTTGATTAACTAACCGAGTTCGATATCAAATTTGTGCTTAATTCTGCAAGTTTGAATTGACTCATCTGATATAAAGAGAAAAATATAATGGCGAAACATGAGAAAATAGAAGACAAATAATAATAAATCATTTGATACGAGGAACTGATTTATAATTGTTAAATATTTATAATATTTTTATACTTATTTTTTGTATATTGTATAATAATATTTTTAATTGATTTATTTCACATGTTCATCAATCGAGTTAGGACTGATTCAAGCTTGACTCGTTAGCAACGCACAAACTATCTATCAAACTAAGCTCAACCGATTCACGAGTCGGCTTAACTAAATTACACCCCTATCCCCTCCATTCAACCAACACTACTTTCAAATCAAATATTCCATTTTATGTAAACACAAAGAACTATTTCATACATTAATATCTTAATGTGATAAATGAAATTCGAAAAAAAAAATCTATATTTATGTATAAGAATGTTTGATCTTCATTCATTCATTACAAAGAGTAGCAGCCGCTGCTGTATCCATGGAGTTGCGCGCCTCCGCCCAAAGCCGGAGCATCACGATAAGCCGCGAGACCATCGGATCTCCGGTGTGGCGGCGGACGGGGAAGATTCTCTGGCATTATGTTCTCCAGCGAGTTGGCGTGCCAAGACGGGCATTTCCTCTTCTCGCTCCACCGCTCCGCCGCCGGCGCTGCCACTGCACGGCCGGTTTCCGCAGCCAGCACTATGGGCCCTTCCATTGCAGAAACAGTCCCAATTGTCACCATCGCCGCCGCCGCTGCCGCAAGGGTGTTTCGCCGCCATCCCGACCTGTAATTAAGGAACCTGTTAGTGGGAATCGTATCAATTTGATAGCTTCCGAAGGGTAGTGCATGGAATTTTGCTTACCATTGGGACAAAGGAGGAGGCGAAGCGTTTGGGAGAGGAGGAGGAGGAGGAGATGAGGAGAGCCTGATGCAGGCGTTGATGGGGAGCGCCATGGTCTTGGTTTCGGGTCCCGTTTGGCGGTCGACTAATCCGGTTCTGTTTATAAGTAGAGGTAGCGGTGCGACGAGAGTTGTTGGGAGAATCACGGCTGTTGATCACGACACGGACGGTGGATTTAGAGGTAGTGGCACGTGTCGAAGGTCCTTCGGTCGAACGGAAAAAAGTTGCTTGTTGACCGAAATAATCAATAACGTGCGGTTTTAGGTTGACGCGTGTGGAAAAGGCGTGTGGACTTGCTCAATTGTGGGAGGGGATATTGACCGTCGGATGAAGGATGATGGACGGTGATTCGAAGCGAAAAATGTGGAAATTATGGGAAATGTGAAGCTTGGTAGTGCTCACACGCCTTTGCTTGGAAGTCGGCTGGCGGCGCCGGCTCTCGAGTTAGGTTGAAAAGAATTATTTTGCGTAAGGATGTTGCTGCAGCTATTTTTAAATTATTTAAAAAATCTAGAAAAAGGGAAAATCACATTGCTTAGAAAAGTTGAAATGATTTTACTCATATTGATGCCTTTCATTTAGGGAAGAGTTTGATATAATGCAAAGAAGATATTATGTGGTTGAGGTTTATATACAAAAAAAAGAGAGAACTTCTCTTTAAGAAAAAAAGAAGAAAATTTTTTCTAAGAAAATAAATCTAAAAAAAAGAGAAATTTTCCTAGAGAGAGAGAGAGATTTAAAATGCTAAAATAAAAAAATAAAAGTTAGGATTTTTAAATTTAAAATATATTTTCAAACGTAATATGCTTTGATGTCCAAAAAAAGGGAGACAAATGATATAGCTCTAAAAATTCATATGATTTGTAGTAATCTCGAGGCAATTGTTGAATTTGAAACTTTTGAAATCAAAATCCTGATCATTAGAACTTCAAACTTAGCATGCTTATAGTTAAATCGAGTATCCCATTAAGACAAAATCAATGAGTCTAAGATCACTTAATTTCGACATCATTAAGATACTTAAATGCAGAAAACATATTTCATGATTAAGAGAATCAATATTGATCATATTATGAAGTGCTTTGGCTTTTTGTCCAAATTACCAAAATTCTCATTCCAAAGCCTATAAAATAGAGCCCCATTCTCCAGACGAGGAGAAAGAGAAACGTGAGAACTAGAGAACTATCTTATACTTTTTCAGTTATTATCGTCGACAACTACCACCAGTTATTTGCACTAACAACTACCATCGCCGTTGATGATCACCGTTGGTAATCGCCACAATCTCTAAAATTCTAACAAAATTTAACACTATTGTTGGATATAATTGTCCGTATGTGGACACCTAGTTTCTATAATCTTTAATATGAAAGTCAAGCCATATTTTTTGGAGTTAATTATTCATTTGTAGGCATTTGATATTTATGTGAATCCCCACAAGAGAAATCAGTCATCTTATTCTCAAATAGTATTCATCTTTTTCAAATGTGAGGAAGAAAAAATTCTTCTATCTTTCGATGTATAATGGATTTTCATATGGGCCATTCCCCGTGATTTTTTTTTTCTTTTTGAGATTTTTACATAAAAATTTCTGATCTTACCAAAAAATCCTATAAATAAAGCTCCATTATCCGCATGAGGAGAGGAAGAACTGAGAGAACTAGAGAACTCTCTTATATTTTCTAGTTATCAATGTCGACAACCATCACTAGCAGTTGTCACCGATAACCACCATCGTCGTCGATCATCCCCCTTAGTATCGTCACCATCTCTAAAATTCTGACAAGATTTAACACTGTTGATGGATATAGTTGTCCGCATGTGAACACCTTCTTTCTCTAATCCCTATTATGGAAGTCAAGACTTATTTTTGGGCGTTGTTTATTTATTTGTAAACACTTGATTTATGTTAACCCCCGCAGGAGAAATCAATCATCTTATTCTCAAATGATCCTCTTCTTCTTCAAATGTGAGAAACATGATTTTTTTTTTTTTTTTTGTAAAATTTGGGCTTAACTCGTATATTAAATGAGCAAAAGAAGATTACAAGGAATCATTCAAAAAAAAGGAGGAGCTCACACAACCGGGAGCCAAAAAAAACAGCACAAAAACAAATAATGCAGCAAAAAACTTCAGAAAAATGAAATAAGAAACCAAAAAGAGGGAGCTCCCAAGTCAAAATTAGTCTGGACTCAAGAAGTAAGACAGCATATCAGCATTTCATGAAGAAGATCATAAGCCCCTGGTTGCCCGAAGACCATCCAAGGGGAGCTTGCAAAGGGAGCGTCATCATTATCCAAGGCTAGAACGAATGCAACAACAGACAGATAAACTGAGGGCCCCAAAATGAGAGACGGACAAAATCAAAACCATTAGGCGCAGCATCATTTGCAAATGGGAGAAACAATCTCGTTCTCAAAAACCATTAGGCGCAACATCATCAGAAAAAGTCCAGGATATTAGTAGAAGATTTCCACTTAACAACTTTCTCAAAAACAGCTCTTTTGATGCACGTGGATATAGAGATGTAGCAGCTCACATAATTACCAAACTTTATATTATCCCTCTCTTTACAAATGTAATAAATAGAGCATCAAGTAAAAAGATGATAAAGAGTTTTAATATGATGCTTCACATTCAAATTACCATTAATTCACTCAAAGAGATGCAAAATCGTGGGTCTAAGAAGAAGATTCTTGGCGGGTGGCATTAGTTCAGTAATAACAACATTAGAGAAAGAGGGTTCAAAGAAAAGGTGGGAAACACTTTCAGGGTACCTGTGGCATAGACTACAGGTTAGCGGTACAGAAATGTTCATGAGATGTAAAGCATAAGTTGTTTTCAAGCCATCCACCACAGCAAGCCAAGCTAACACGAATATCTCAATGCATGCTTATGATGCCAAACCAAGTTATCCCAAGAGCACTTTGGTAAGTAAGTATAAAATTCACTTATAAAATGCCTAAATTTGATGTTACTCAGCTTTTCCCAAATTAAACAAGGCTGGAGCTATCAAAAATAGGAATACCATGCATCAGATTGTGAAAAGAAGGGGGTGCATAATCCCCGGGGGGGGGAGACCAATTCATACCCGAAATAAAATCCTTAAGAAGGGCTTTAGAATGCGTAGCATTAAGCAAAGAAAGACCTTCAAATTAAGTTTTCTAACTTGGCATTATAATATCAGTGATCCCAGTGCAAGGAAATAGGAGCAAGTGGAGTGACTCTAAAATAAAAATTTTCCTTAGCATCAATAACCGTTCTGCACACGGAGTTCCAATAATTTGAAGCATTCGAAGGAGCTGGACGCCAAGGAGAAGTGTATATACTAAAAATCCAAGTATATAGGGGAGATTTAGCATTGTACATCCTAAGAATTATTGACCAATTAAAGGCAAATTGAATAGCCTGCAATGAAGGCAGACCCAGCCCCCTTTTGCTTAGGTATGCAAACTTTATCCTATGAGACCATATGGATTTTCTTGGCAGCTGTCGGATCACCAAAGAACAAAAACTTAGAACATGTTTTTTTGAAGAATTTAAGAAAAATTTTAGGTAAAATAGATCCATGTATCCAATAAGCTATAGAGTTCAGAATAGTATATCTCAGAAATTGTAACCGGCCCGCAGAGGAAAGGAGGTTGGCTTTCCATCCAGATAATTTTTTAGATGTACTATTTAGAAGAGGAAAAAAAGTCAGCAACTTTAAGTCTATTAAAAGATAAAGTGATACCCAAGTATGAAATTTTAGAACTAATAGTATGTGTGGAAAGAACTTGACAATTAGCATTCGAATCAGAAAAGTTCCTTGACAGCATAATAGAACTTTTTCAAGATTAACATGAAGGCCTGTGGCATTTGCAAAAGTGTTGAGGATGTTAGTTAGATTGATACAGTTTTCAATAGTAGCTTCTCAAAAAATAAGCACATCATCCGCATAAAGTAGATGAGTGAGAGTGAATCCATCCAAAGCAATCCCTTTAAAATCCCCAGCATCCAGCGGAGAAGAGAAAGCATCTATAGCAAAACAAAAGAGATAGGGACTTAGGGGGCATCCTTGCCTAAGGTCTACAAAAAAAAGGAAAGTATCCCTCAAGGGCTCCATTTATCACTATAGAGAAGTTCACATAAGGTTTATATGCTTTAATTCAACTCACAACAATGGTGGGAAAACCTTTCTGAATCAGTCTAGCAAATAAGAATTCCCTAGATACAGTATCAAAAGCTTTATAGATATCTAATTTAGCACATAAATACTTGGCACCTCCTCTTTTACAGACAAGGGAAAAAAGTTCAGTGACAAGTAAGATATTATCCATAGAAACTCTAGCTTTGATAAAACTCGATTGGTTTTCTTTGACAAGCATATGCATGATAGGCTTAATTCTATTAGCAATAGCCTTTGCAATAATTTTGTAGAGAGTGTTGCACAAAGCAATAGGCGTAAAATCAGACAAAGAATTAACATTTTTATGTTTAGGGATAAGGGCCAAAGTCGTGGTTAATTCCTGTCGCAACCCGACCCGACCGGGAAGGATCCCGCCCGCACCGGGCCGCGAACAGCTTAACGAACAAACAGACCAGGATCTGGCTTTGGAATTTGCTTCGGAAATGATTCTTCCAAATATTTCAACTCAAAAACAGACAAACACAGAGCTACTATGAAACATCAAATTCAGCGGAACAAATCATCTATATTTTTCTTTTCCTCAAAACAATCATCTACAAATACAGTACATGGCTGACAGAGAAAACAAAGAAGAAAGAGAAAACAAAGAAGAAAGAGAAAACAAAGAAGAAAAGTCATGACTGTACAAAAATCAAAAAGTACAAAATACCTATAACTGATCTGATCAGACTCTGAACTCTAGTACAAGACCTCCTTCCCTTTCCCAGAGCCTAAAAAAAAACACACGCAGAAAATAAGGGTGAGCTCAACAGCTCAGCAAAGCAACAAACCTCCAATCAAAACTTCCAGAATCCAAAACCAAACATTTCAAACCAAATCCATACAGAAACCAGAACAGAATCAGACATGTATCAAAATTGTGCAGATCAGAACAAAACAAATCAAATCAGAACAGATACTGACATATATCAAATCAGAACAGATACGGAACAGATCAAACAGAACTGTACGGAAACAGAAGTCATATCAAACCAGATATCAGATAGTATTGTAATTAATAGCTAAATTCCCTGACACTGATAGAATCTCTATGGATTCTGGCCCCTTATGCCTCCCTTTGTGCTCACGGCACCAGAACAGATGTGCTTATAGCACCAGAACAGATTTCATCGGATCCGGAACAGAACAGATATCAGATTTCAGTTTGAGCTCATTTCAAATTTCTCAGACACTAACTGAATCTCTTAGGATCCAGGACCCTTATAACTCCCTTTATATAGCATATACAGATAGCATATCAATTCAGAAGAAATCTGGACAAATTCAGAAATTAGACAAAAATCGGGCAGCACAACGACTGTATACGGAATTTACACAATTTTCCTGAAAAATCACAGAATACCAAATTTGCACATAATATAGATAACAACATTTCAGAATATTTATTCTATTGCCACAACAATTACTTTCATCACAGAAAAATACATGCGACATAAAACACCGCCGAATTCAAAATACCCGGACAAAAATCTCCAGAAAATAACCAAAATGTGCACACTCAGCACGTCAATAACATACGGAAATTCACGCGGTAAAAACTGAACCAGTCGAAAAATACGGACGAAATTCGCTAACAAAAATGAAATCCGGACAGAAAAGTCGTTCAAATTGCACCGTTCGATAATTAATTCTGAAAAAGTCCTGCTCTCTGTCTTTTGCACTGAACTGATCGGCCTGGGACGATGCCCCTATCGGCCTGGCCGATCCTGGGAGAAAAATCACCTGGAGCAATCTGGGCAATTTCTGGAGCAAATTTCAACTGATCGTCCCAGGACGATCCCAGATCGTCCTGGACGATCCTGGAGCAGAATTAGAACTTCACAATTCCACTAGGCATGTAACCTTTAGGGAAAAAAGATCTCACAGCTTTAATAACCATATGACCAATAATATGCCACCCTATTTTATAAAAGTGAAAGTTGAACCCATGCGGCCCCAGGGAAGATGTAGCATACCCCTTGAAAACCACCTTTTTAATCTCCTCATCATAAACATGTTGAGTAAGATGAGTGAAGAAGTCATCAAGAAAACTAGCTCCAATAGGAAATAAGCCAACATACAGGTTTGAAGGAGGAGGTGGGTTATAAATAACTTGAAAATGTTGAATAATAGAGTTAATCACATCATTTCTGTCAGAGTTAGGAGAGGAGGCAAGCAAGTTGACAACAACTTTATTGCTACCTTGCCTACTCCATAAAGAAACTTCAGGTCTTCCTCCCCATATTTGAGTCATTCAACTTTGGCTCGTTGAATAACCCAGGAAGCAAGAATACTAGAAAATTTAGCAAGTTTATGATTGATATCTTCCAAGGAAACTGTTATTCGGATCGGCATGTATATTCTCCAGACAAACCAATTGCTTATTATGTAATTCATCAAGGTGAGTCTTGATCAAAGAGGAGCGAGCCCAAGACTCCAGTTTAATATTAGCCTTGAAAAGTTTAAGAGTGTGACATAAGTGAGATATAGGATTTCCAGTAGAAGGCTTGGAGAAAGCCTTTAGGAGAAGGAGCTAATATTTATCAATATTTGTCCAATAATTTTTGAAGAGGAACCTATGGTGAGAATGATGAGTCGCTCCAAAAACATGAAATTTAAGATTCCGTTATAAAAGCCTTAAGAAATTTTGGACAGCCTTGGCCTTTCTTTTTTTTAGAGGAAATGAATATTGGGCAGTGGCGGCACTCAAGAACAAGGCTAACGGACAACTACTTGAATGGTTTCTTCCTCTCCGCAGAAATTCTCCTACTTTATGCCATGGCTGACTCCTTCGTCCCTGAAGCAAACCACGCAGCTCCAAGCCCAAATGATCGTTTCCGGAGCTCCGGCGGCGGCGACTCTTCTCCTGAGATCCATCGCCGACTGCGAAAGCAGCGACCTTTCCAATACTCTCCACCTCTTCTCCCATCTCCACAAGCCGTCCACCTTCCAATGCAATACAATCATGAAGGCTTGTTCCCTTCGTCATTTCTCCGAATACTCCATCGAAATTTTCATTCAAATGTGCCGGAAAGACATAAGCCCCGATTCTTATACATTTCAGCTTCTCTTCAAATCTTGCTCCATCTCTCACTTGGCTCAGCAGGGTTATGCAGCTCATGGTCAATTTATTAGGCTTTTCTCTTATTCTGAACACCTTGCTTTTACCTCCTTGATTCATATGTACGTGGAATTTCACCGGATCGATGATGCAAGGAAGGTCTTTGATCACATTACTTATAAGGATGTTCTTCTGTGGACTACTATGGTATCCGGGTTGGAAAAAGCAGGGTTGCTTGATGATGCCCGGAAGGTGTTTGATGATATGCCTGAGAGAAATGTTATATCATGGACAGTGATGATTAAAGGTTATTCTAGAACAGGACAGCCTGCAGAGGCCATAGAAACGTTTAGAAAGATGCTTAGAGAAGGAATTATGCCAGATAGTGTTGCATTCATGTCTGTTCTTGCTGCTTGCTCGCAAAGCCGGGACCTTGAAACCGGAAAATGGATTCATCACCTTGTTGAAGAAATGGATATTGTTTTGAATGAGAATCTCATTGTGACTCTTATCGACATGTATGCAAAGTGCGGCGACATTGACCATGCTTGCTCGGTTTTCAATTCAATTGGCCACGAGACTCTTCCAGCATGGAATGCAATCATTGATGGATACTGTAAAATGGGCAATATAGATGAAGCTCAGTCCCTTTTCGAACAGATGGACTCACCTAACCTGATCACATATAACTCAATGATCACAGGCTACATTCAGAGCAGTAGGCTTAAGGAAGCACTGTCTTTGTTTACTGATCTACTAACCTCAGGCCTCTTGCCTGATAAATACACATTGGTGGGTTTGCTCTCAGTTTGTGCTAGCTTGGTTGCACTAGACAAAGGAAAGATATTGCATGCTTACATTGAGGTTAACCTCGCCGAAACCGACATCTTTCTCGGGACTGGTCTGCTTGACATGTATGCAAAATGTGGAAAAATGGACCAAGCAATCTTAGTCTTTGATAGAATGAATAGAAAGGATGTGATGTCTTGGACTGCTATGATTTCAGGTTTTGCCATGAATGGAATGGGAAAGCTCGCACTTGAGCAGTTCTCTATGATGAGAAATGAAGGCATTAGACCAAATGTAGTTGCCTACATAGGCGTCTTGAATGCTTGCAGCCACTCAGGCCTTGTAGATGAAGGCCTCAGGCATTTTAAAGAGATGCAAGTTTTATATAATTTAGAGCCAGAGATTGAGCATTACGGTTGCATGGTTGATCTTCTGGGTCGAGTTGGGCGTTTAGCTGAAGCTGAAAAGCTTATAAGGAGCATGAAAATGCAACCAAATGATGTTATTTGGGCTTCGTTCTTAAGATCTTGCAGAGTATACAAGAATATGGATTTGGCCGAGTGGTCTGCAAGAGAGCTCATTGTGTTGGAGCCGGATAAAGATGCTGGATACGTTCAACTATACAACACATACATAGATGCTGGGAGATGGAAGGATGCTTCCATGATCAGGAGCAGGATGGAAGAGAGAGGAGTGAAAAAGATTGCAGCTTTTAGTTCCATTACAGTCAATGGGCAGGTTTACAAGTTCATCGCCGGCGATCAGAAACACCCATATGTAATTGAGATCCAGGAAGCAATGCGTGAGATCATGAAGAGGCTGAAGGAATCCGGTTACTCGCCGATCATGTCGCAGGTTGCGGTGGATGTCGATCAAGAGGAGACAGAAGAGAGTCTCTTTGGCCACAGTGAGAGGATAGCCATTGCTTTTGGGATCAGGAGGTTGGGGCCAAGCTTGCCAATTCATGTCGTCAAGAACCTAAGGGTCTGTGATGATTGCCATTCAGCGATAAAGATGATTGCCAAGTTATGGAGTCGGGAAATTGTTGTTAGAGACCGAAGCCGCTTTCATCATTTTCGAGATGGGCAGTGCTCCTGCAATGATTTCTGGTGAAAGGAGAATGCTCTCTCTGCTAAAAGGAATGACTTTTCGAGTTTGAAATCTAGTTCATAAGTGCTTTTGGTTGAAGTTAGGCAAGTTTTATGGTCCATATGAGATTTTTTTTTTTTTTGTAGAATTATTATGAAAATTTTAGTTTATTTAAAAAAAATTATTGTGAATAGCACAAATAACTTACACATATTATATTTTAGTATATCTTTTATATTTTTTTTTTCATCATAGAAGTTTCTCAAAAGTGATAGTCAATGTTTGGAATAAAATCATGCAATGAATCAACAACAACAACAACATCAAGCATTTGTCTCACTATATGGGGTCGGCTACGTAGTCATTTTTCTTCATTGTGTCTTGTTAAAAGTCAAATTATGTTTTAAATTAAAAAATGAAATATTATTTCTACATTAGGATTTAACATGAAAAAATTTAAAATAAGGAAAAAATCACGGAGTTACATCACATAAAGAAATTCATTATGAAATAGGAGAAATCATACATATCACTTTTTTACATATTCTCCTTGTCTCTTTTCACTTCTCACACCATTCTACCCTCTGAAGAGACTAAGAGACTCACCTCTATGACACCAAATGACACGATCTTCAAAGTGAAATAGTGAGGAAAACTGCTCAGCCTGACTCACAGTGCCTTGGTGTTAACTTTGTTATCTTACAATAACGTGGCGGTGCTGTGCTCTCTGGTTAACTTTGTTATCTTACAATAACATGGCGGTGCTGTGCTCTCTGTCTCAGAGGAATCCTATAATAATAAATGTGACAATATATGAATGGAATGATTTTTATATCGGAAAGATGAAAAGTTCAGATCAATTTGATGAGATGAGAGAAATAAAAAAGATCAATTATTATTGTAATGGGGCATAAACTGATTATTTTAAAAATATCATTTTTGAAAGATAAATATAATTTCAAATTTTTGGAGGAAATATAAATTAAATATTTTTATGAAAATTATATTTACATAAATAAAAAATACATTCTATATAAAAATATCTTATCCTCTAAAGCGCGATATTTAATAACTTTTAAGTTGAATAATAAATTTTTTTATTACTACAATATTCTAATAAATTTAGCTCTTAAAAAATCAATCCCATTGCATGAGTATGCTACTTCTGACGCTAATCTCTGCATAAAAATTCCAGTTAGGCTCATTCTCTTTGCTTCTATGTAAAAGGAAAAGCTTCGTAGTCTCATAAAAATACCAGCAATAAAAAGATGGTCATTTTAAGGAGCTGTTTGAATATAGGATTTAGGTTTCTTAACGGGTTTTTTTACTATTTCTTAAATCAATTTTTTAGTATAAAATTTTTATTTGTTGTACAAAAAATTTACTTTAAGAAGCAGTTAGAAAGTCATCCCAAACGAAGCCGAACAATATTTTTATAAAAAAATTTTGAATTAAAAATTTTATACTAAAAAATTGCTTTAAAAAAAATTGTCATAAACAAAACCTTAAACAAAATTTCTAAAAGAAGTAGCAACAACTTATTTTTTGCATCCATTTAAGTTCGAAAAGTAGCTAAATGAATGATAAGTATTAGCACAGCTGTCTAGCGCCTGTAGCAAGTCATCATTTACATCCTATCCGTGCTTTACACGTGTACCTACCATCTCTCTAACCAGCTATATATATTACTCTATGTACCAATGGGAAAGATGAATAATACAATATTATTTATGTCTTCTTGTTCATTGTCTTCTCTGTATCTCTCCGACCTCTCTTCTTGTCCTTCAGTTTCTACATGGTATCAGGCTTTTCCTTCCTATACCTGATCAGAAAATGGATACATCTCACTCCGCCTCCTCTGCCACCGACCAACAACATAGCGCTCCGGTAGAAACCTCCCACATTTCTCAGTTTCTCAAATTTGTGGTTTCAAATCTCAAAACGCTCATCCCAAATCAATTGTCATCGGAGAATTATCCGATTTGGCGCCATCAGATTCTCAAAATTCTCCGAGCAAATGATTTCGATCATTTTCTTGCCCCACCGAATTCTTCTGTGGATTCGTCCAATCTCGCAGTCGAATCAACACTCAAGAACTGGCATATCATAGACCAGAATCTTCAGGCGGCCCTATGCTCGACGATATCTCCGACGGTGTTGCCATACATTCTTCACCTTGACACCACTCATGAGATCTGGCAGGTTCTTGAAAGCCAGTTTCAGGCAACAAGTCGATCCAAGGTGATTCAGCTCAAGAACGAGCTCCATCATATCTCCATGAAGAATCTCTCTATGATCCAGTATCTTACAGAGATCAAGAAGCTTGTAGACCAAATCGCCTCCGCCGGCTCTACCATCGACTCTGAAGATATAGTTCTATATATCTTGAACGGCTTGCCTCCGGCGTATCAATCCTTCAAGACGTATATTCGCAACTCGCCCACACAAATCCGCTTTGAAAACCTGTACGCCATGCTAATCAGTGAAGAAATTCATATCAACGCCGACGCTGCCCGTAGTTCCACCGACACCATTCAGCAAGCGGCTCTGTACGCCAACAGGGGTCGTGGTCGTCGCACAAGGGGTCGCTCTACCCAATCTCAGAATTCAAATGGCCGCTCAAGCCAACAGCAACAACAGCTTCCCACATTCCAGATCTGCGCCAAGAAAGGTCATACGGCCGATGTATGTTGGCATCGCATGAATGCCACCTACACTCAGCAACTGAGCAACCTCAAACAGAACAATGCTCTTATGGCTAACTCTGAAACCCCATCCTACGATTGGTACCTAGACTCAGGGGCGTCCTCGCACATGACCAATGCGGCTGACAACCTCAACCAAACTACTGCATATCAAGGAGTTGAAGGTGTCTTCATCGGGGATGGAAGAAACATTCCCATTGCTCACTCGGGCACGGGTATTCTTCCAACCCCGAATCATAAGCTTCAATTAACCAACTTACTTCATGTTCCTTATATCTCTCACAATCTTATATCCATCTCTCATCTTGTTAAAGATAACAATATCTCGATTACATTTGATCCAATGGATTTTGTGTTTAAGGATCTGATGACAAATCAGGAGCTTTCTTCGCGGTCAATGTAGAGCAAGGCTGTACAAGATCTCTCCAACAGACACAACACAGAACTGCACATCCACTCTTCAGGTGTCCAAGAAGCAGGTCTTGAGGTGGCATGACCGTCTCGGCCACTCTCATCTCCGGGTCCTGCACAACATAGCTCAAAGCAATCCAACTTTACATATTCATCATTCGTCTTATTTTCCTTGTACCACTTGTATTCAATGCAAAAGTCACAAAATACTGTTTGAATCATCCAAAACAAGAAAACAATATCCTCTTGAACTTGTGCACTCTGATGTATGGGGACCGGCTCCGGTTACCTCTACTCAGGGCTATAAATTTTTTTGTCATTTTTGTAGATGATGTTTCCCGCTATACTTGGCTTTTTCCAAATCTGCATAAATCTGATGTGGTTACTTTCTTTATGCAATTTACTAAGTATATCGAAAATCAAATTAATTACAAGATTAAAGCTGTTAGGATCAACGGTGGTAAGGAGTTCATCAATCAACAGATGCATACCTTCCTTCGCTCCAAAGGTATTCAGCTCCAATCCTCGTGTCCTTAAATCCCGGAACAAAATGGGGTATCCGAACGCAAAAATCGCCATATCCTGGAAACAACTAGATCACTCATTCACAAAGCCTCCATTCCTTCGGTATACTGGCCTGAAGCCTGCTCAACGGTTGTGTATCTGATTAACAGAATGCCATCTCCTAACACATCTAACAAATCACCATGCAACTTCTGTTTCACAAAACACCTGATTACGCTCACCTGAGGACATTTGGTTGCGAGTGCTTTCCTCTTCTACCCAGGCACACGTGCACAAAACTTCAACCGAAGTCCAGCTCTTTTGTCTTCATGGGTTACTCAGACATTCACAAGGGCTATAAATGCTTCAACAGGGAATCAAACAAAACATTTATTTCTCGTCATGTTACATTTCTTGAGGACTCATTTCCATTTAACCAATCTACTCTTCCTCCACAGCTCACGGTCCGGGATATACCTCCTTCACTGCTTCTACCGGTATCTAAAGCATCGGACATCAGACCACCAATCACAATGTGCTCACCACAAATACCAGAACCAACAAACTGCACGCCATCAAAGACTCAGTCCTCCAGCCACACCAATTCTGTCGATAGTCCCACTCCTATAACAACTCAGCAACAGCCTACACAACCACCTAAACATCCCATGATCACATGGTTGCAAACAGGCTCCTTAAAACCACCCAGACGTCTCAATCTTCTAGCCACCAATTCACCACCATCTGATTTGGATCCCACCAGCTTCTCGGAAGCCAACAGACATCCAGAATGGCGACAGTCCATGGCTAAAGAGTCCATAGATCTTCAAACATAGGGCATATGGTGCCTCGTCCCACCTCCCCCCAAACCGTCCATCCTAGGCTGTAAATGGACGTTTCGAAAGAAATTCAATTCTGACGGATCGATAGCACGGTTCAAGGCACGCCTAGTTGCTCAAGGCAACAAGCAAGAGTACGGCATAGACTACAGCAAGACGTTCAGTCTGGTGGCAAAATTGCCCACCATTCGGATCTTATTCACTCTTGCTCTCTCACAAGGATGGACGGTGCAACAGTTGAATGTATCCAACGCCTTTCTCCACGGCCAACTTACAGACACGGTCTACATGGCTCAGCCGAGAGGCTTCCTAGACAACACCCATCTGAATCACGTGTGCTGGCTGTGAAAATCAATCTACGGCCTTAAACAGACGCCACGACAGTGTTATACTACCTTCACAAACCACCTCCTCACGATCGGCTTCAAGCACAGCCAAGCTGATCCGTCTATCCTCACGCTTCAACAAAATCAAACGCACATCTTCCTCCTCGTCTACGTTGACGACATTCTCGTCACCGGCAACAACCAAGAAGCTATCAACAATGTCCTGTCAAAGCTACATTTAAAGTTCAATATGAAAAATCTAGGACCTGCTCATCACTTTCTCGGCATCAAAATTCAAAAGCTCACAAATAAGTTCTTCCTCTCTCAATCATCCTATGCTACATCAATTCTGAATTCTGTTAATCTCACTGATTGCAATTTCCTCGACAATCCGTCCTGTACTAAACTTCCGGTCCAAACACATGAGGATGCAACGTTCTCAAAACCCAGCACATGCCGAAGAGTCACAGGCTCATTACAATATCTAACGCTAACCCGTCCAGAT